ATCTATCTATCATCTATCTATCTATCTATCTATCTATCATCTATCTATCTATCTATCTATCATCTATCTATCTATCTATCTATCATCTATCTATCTATCTATCTATCATCTATCTATCTATCTATCTATCATCTATCTATCTATCTATCTATCATCTATCTATCTATCTATCTATCATCTATCTATCTATCTATCTATCATCTATCTATCTATCTATCTATCATCTATCTATCTATCTATCTATCATCTATCTATCTATCTATCTATCATCTATCTATCTATCTATCTATCATCTATCTATCTATCTATCTATCTATCTATCTATCATCTATCTATCTATCTATCTATCTATCATCTATCTATCTGTTTATTTATTTATTTATTGGCCTTTTTTGAGACAGGGTTCTCCCTGCAGCCCCAGCTGGTCTGGAACTCCTATGTAGATCAGGCTAGCCTCAACCTCACCGAGATCCACCTGCTTCTGCTGCCCAAGTGCTAGGATTACAGGCATGCATCACCATGCCTGGATCCTTTGTTTATTTATTTATTTATTTATTTATTTGTTTATTTATAGAAAGGGTTTTACTCTTTCTATAAATAGATAAGTATAGGCTGGCCTCAAACTCATGGTGATTCTCCTGCCTCATCCTCCTAAGTGCTGGGATTGCAAGTATGAGCCACCACATCTCTCTCCCTTCCTTTCTTTCCTTTGCAAACCCGTTTCCAAATCTCTGGGTCTGTGTCCCCATTTCTTGGTCTCCCTCCTCTCAGACTGTGTGTCTCTATGTCCTCGTCCTGGGGTCTTTCTCTCCTATCGCAGTCTCTCCCTCCATCTCTCTCCTTCTTCGGGCCCGCCCTGTGAGGCAACCACAAGATCCCTTTCCTACACCTTTACAGATGATAGGCAGCAGGTCACTTAGGTTCAGTCATATCTGAAGACCCCAGGTTGACCCCAGGCTCCCAGGTTGACAGTCTGAGTTGTCCTCAAGCATCTTTTTTTGACACAGCCTGGGGTCTCCAATTAGATAGTCACTCATGCAAGCTGAGGGGGCTGAGGAAGCTTGAGGTGGCTTGTTAAGTGGTGAGGAGATCCAGGAACAGGAAGAGATGAGGTCTGGGGGTTGAGGAGCATTCTGGGCCCAGCACCTAGGCACCTGGCCTTACTCCTTTCTCAGATGGCAGGCAGATTAAATATACAATGCCTGGTTTAATTTTTTTAAAAGTTTATTTATATTTAAAAAATTTTTAAATTTTTAAAAATTTTATGTTTATGAGTGTATTGCCTGCTTGTATATGAGTGCACCCATGTCATGCAACGCCCATGGAGGTCAGAAGACGGTATCGGATCCCCTGGAACTGGAATTAGGGACAGTTTCCAGCTGCCTTGTGGGTGCCGGGAACCGAACTTGGGTCCTCTGTGAGACCAGCCAGCGCTCTTAACTGCCAAGCCATCTCTCCAGCCCATGATTTTAGGGGTTTTGGAGACAGGGTCTCCCTGTAGCCCCAGCTAGTTTGGAACTCACTATGTAGACCAGGCTGGCCCAGATCTCACAGAGATCCTCTTGCCTCTGCCTCATGAGTGCTGTGATTAAAAGCATGCCACCACACCTGGCCCTCATTTTAGACAGGGTTTCACTACGTAGCCCTAGCTGGCTTGGAACTCCCTAGGTAGACCAGGCTGGTCTCAAACTTCTTATATATAAACTAGGATGGCCTCTGCTTCCCAAGTGCTGGGACTAAAGGCGTGTGCCACCACACAAGGCCTAAGAAAAATTATCACATTTATGTATTTTGTGTGTGTACCTGTGTTTGGACCTCTGTGAGCCCAGTGCACATGTGGAGGTCAGAATACAACTTGTAGGAGTTGGTTCTCTCCTATAATGTGGGTCGTGGTTGTCACCATGTCATGCAATGCCGCAGAGGTCAGAAGAGGGCTTCGGATTCCTCTGGAACTGGAGTTAAGGACGGTTCGTAGCCGCCATGTGGGTGCTGGGAATTGAACCCAGGTCCTCTGTAAGAGCAGCCAGTGCTCTTAACCACTGGGCCAACTCTCCAGCCCTATTTATATTTATTGTGTGTATCTGAATGCATGGTTTTTTTTGTCTTAAGACAATGTCTCAAAATACAGCCTAGGCTGGCTTTGGAACTTGAGATCTTCCT